CCTTTTGTAGGTCCTTAGGAAGCCATCTCGCTGGCGATCCCCATCGTACCCCAGTCCCTGACCCAAGCAACCTGGGTGATGCCATCAGCTAACTTCCTACAGTTTCTCAGCTCCTCTCGAATGGACACCCCGAAGAGGCTCTGTCTGCTGGGCTCTCATCTCCTCAGTAGGCAGAAATCTTGGGCTGGGGGCTTTGAAGACCCTCAAGCGACATCACAAGGTGTCCCGTTGCCTTGGACCCCAGGGACACGTTCTGGTCCTGGCCCAGCAACTGGGGAAGTGTATGCCACTCCCTACAAGCAGTTTAAAGCTCAGATCCTGGAGGTGGCCTACACATTCTTTCTCATTAGAGAAACCCTTAACTATCTGAGCAATCTTTGGTCATTTCTTAGATCTAGGCTGAAGGTGAGGTACTGTGCCAAGACTGGGAGCTGCGGGGCCAGTTTGGACACTTCATAGCAAGTTCTGCACGGATGATCTAGAACTTCTCTGAAGTGTGTGTGTGTGTGTGTGTGTGTGTGTGTGTGTGTTTTGGGGAGGGGTGTGGCAAGGGCAATCACCTATTGTTCTAAGCACTGGGTACCAGCCAGGCAACTGGAAAGTCTTGCCTATCCGGCTAGACAAAGAAAACAGTGATCAGAAATTAGGTTCACAACACAGTACACTTATGACTGACCCCACAGGCACTCGTGTTTTAACAGAGCAGAAGACAATGGTTGACTCAAATGTAAGAACCTCAGGTGAGAACATTCTCCATGTCTATGATAGGCCTTCCCAGGAGCCACAGCTGCAGCCTGTGTGGCATGCACCTTGCCTGGCCTCCCTGAACCCGGCATCAGCATTCTGCGGGGGCAGCTGGGCCCCAACACAGACGAAGAGCTGTTGATGCCGATTGGGAGGCAGCTGGAGTGGTGCCAGGAGGGCCCAGGGGCTTGGCTTGCCCACTCCGTGTTTTCAGGCTGCTAAATACCATAGACTGAGTGGCTGATAAACAGCGGAGAATTATTACCTGTGGCTCTGGAGGCTAGAAATCCAAGATCAGGGGCAAGTAGGTTCTGTCTCCAATGGCTGCCGATTTCTGGTCCATAGCTGGTGCCTTCTTGCTGTGTCCTCACACACTGAAGGGTGCGGGGGTTCCTGGAGCCTCCTTTGTAAGAGCACCAATCGCATCCCTGAGGACTGTGCCCCTGTGCGCTAACCACCTCCTAATACAGCATCACCTTGGGGTTGCGGGTGACACAAACTTTCAGGCCATAGCACGCCCTGCAGCTGGGCCATGGCCAGGTGGGCCTGGATGAGTGCAGAGGCGGCCTCCTGACCCAGGGAGAGTGTCACAGCCACAGTGCAGCAAGGTCTGCCGTGGGCACGGAGGCCAGAGCAGTGGCTGGAAGCCCGCTCATATCTCCAGAAGGCGGCTGCAGGGTTGTGTGGCACCTCTGGGCGTCCGTTCCTGTGAACTGATAAAAACTTTCTATAGTGTAGGCTTTTTATGAAGATTAAAGGAAGTGGTGTTTACACAGCACCTGGGACCTTACTGCACCCCAAAACTGTCATTTCCTTTATTTCCGCTTCTAAGAAGAATGTCAGCTTTGGGGTAGCTTTTCTGGGTGTCTACATGCAGAGAGACCAGGTGGAGTGGTTACCAGTTAGTCCCTGCATCACACTGATGCAGAGTCCTCTGGGACTAAGGACAGACCCATCATTAACTTAATCATTGGTCCTTCCCAGGTGTAACAAAATTCCTCTGGCTTCGTCTTTGGGTGTGCCTACTAGTTGTTATTCTGCAAGAACAGGTTCTTCAGCTTATAGAGATGGGGTGAGTCTGAGGTGAGCCTGTGAGGGAATCGCACCCCCTCCATACCCCACACGCATGCACACACACATGCACGCACGCATGCACGAATGCACCCATGCACACACATGAACTTCTTGGAGGCCAGGCAGGGGGAGTGCGAGCGGCAGTCTGCCACTCACCCCAGGATATCTGCACAAAGCACAGCATCATGGGAATCTCCACTCAGCCAAGGGAAACCATGTCAAACCAGCTCACAGCAGCCCTTCCTTTCGCTCATCACTCCCAGGCGCTAGACTAAGCTCTTCCAGAGCATCTTGCATTACTTCCCAGCAGCCCCATAAGGTTGGTTATTGTGCTGAATCTGCAGAGAGAAGCCGGGCGTCCAGCGATGCCAGCGTGGTGTCCACGCCAGCGCTGACTCCAGGCCCATACTGTGTGGCCTCTTTTCCTCTCTCAGGTGAGTGCTACTCAGCCATCCCCCTGCAAGCTGCCTGACCTGATATGAGTTTGCAGAAACCTTTAAGCTCAGTACTCTCTGCCCTCCTGCCGACGACCAGGGCTCTGCCAGGTCCTTATCCTGCACTCTGAGCACCCCAAGAAGGCAGAGGGAGATTCCACAGCACCCATCTGCTCTCCTCCACTGGCCCCTCGGGTGAGGGGGTGGCTTTACCCTTCGACCACAGCTTCGAGCTGAGGCTTTCCTTGGCTTCAGCAGGCAGCACGACAAGGGAGGATTTTGCATGGACAGCACAAGCTCCAAGGTCCCTCTCTTTGACTCGGGGACTCAGCAGACACAGCACCCAAGGGAGACTGAAGTTGGGGACCACAGCTGCCATCTGCCCTGTCCCTTAAGTCCCTGAAAGGCATCTCCCAGGGGCAGGCTACAGGCTCCTGCCTTCAGGGGAGCCAGACCTCAGTGCAGCTCCCTGGGAGACAGGTGTGAGGGAGGGAGGTGCTAATCCTGGCTTCTCCCCTGAACTGAGTACTACCCAGGCCTTCCCTGAATCAGCAGCCCTTCCTGGAGGCCTGGAGAAGGTGGCAGACACCACAGTAAGCTCCTGATAAGGATCAAATGCTGTCCCCCTGGCGTTTCCAGTCTGAAAGGAGGCCCGGAAGCTGAGTGTCCACCGTAACACCAGCAGCTCACACCACAGCAGTCCTGACCCCTTCCAGGCTGCTTCATAACTGCAGCCCAAGCCAGAAACGTCCATCAGCATTTGTTCCTCTGCCTCTGTGCCCCTTCTTCACCTGCCCAGGAAGCTTGTGTTGGTTGAATGAAGTCATGGGAATGAACGAGATCCTCACAGTGAACTGGGAGGTGGTCAGGGTTACACACTCACACTTACAGTAAGGAGGGAAGGGGATAATGGTTTTGGGGAACAGGGGTGCCAGATTTAGCAAATTCAAGTAAGTATAGGATTTCCAGCTAAATTTGAATTTCAGCAAAACAGTAAATGATTTGTTCAGGATAAGAATGTCTTGTGGCTATTTGGAATATAATTATATTTACAAATTCCTGCTACTTGGTAAGCTGAGGCAGGAGGATTGCAAGTTCAAGGCCAGCCTGGGCAACTTAGAGACTCTGTTTTAAAAAGTTTTAATACTTTAAAAGGGCGAGGGGAATATAGCTCAGTGGTAGAGCACTTGCCCAGCATGTACCAGGTCCTAGGTTCAATCCCCAGGACTGCAAAATATAAATATTAAAAATCCCTCATTGTTTATCTAAAATTCAAATTTAGCTGGGCATCCTGTACTGTTTGGCCACCTAGTTTGGGACCTAACATACATTAGATGTCATCTCTACATTCTTACATTTGCCCTCATCCAGCCCTGGGAGAGAGCAAATGTTAGGTGATATTTACCCCGTACAGGTGAGGGGAAAGATGCCTTGCTGGGTGGCCTGAATCGCCAACTGTGACGCCCTTCGGAAAAATTGGGTGGAACTGGAATGTGGAGCCGCTTCCTTTCCCTACTCTGAAGTGGGCCGGGGGATCCGGAGCAAGGGAAGGCTGGGCTTGGCCCTCCACTGGGGGGATCTGTACATCCTTGAGGCCAAGGAAGGCTGATGCCAGAGGAAGCTGCAGCTCCGACAGCCATAGCACAGGTGTGCGGGCCGGACCCAGAGCTCCCGTGAGTGGCACCAGGCCTGCAGGTGAGAGACAGCCCCGCATCTGCTTCCATGGCCCACAACTAGTGCCTTGTACCTAGGGGTCAAGGGTATCAGGTAGAACACCTGGACACTACACCCACAATAACAGCCTCAGTAGTAACAACAATATGCTGTTGGTCACAGGTGCCAGGCGTTGTGGTAATTCAATTTGTTTTGATTTTTTGTTTGTTTGTTTGTTTTGTTTTGTTTCTGAGACAGGGTCTCACCCTATAGTCCAGGCTAGCCTCAAACTCATGGCAATCCTCCTGCCTCAGCCTCCTGAGTGCTGGCATCATAAGCATGAACCAACATGCCCAACATTTTTAAAGGAAAATAAGAGAATAGTTTACTCTGAGGCAAATATGAGTAAACTGCGCCCAGGATTACAAACTCAAATTGCTTTTTTTTTTAAAAAAAAAATGTATTATTATATGTTTGCAATACATAGTGATTACATTCAGCTTGGGGTAATAACTCATTTTACATCCACTCTTTCTTGTAATCTTCACCACCACAATCAAACAATAATTTTATTACAATTACTCATGGCCACAATTTCGAGCATTACTTTATGTTGCTATTTCACTTAACATGAACAACAGTCCTATCAGGTAAGTACCATTATCGACGTTTCAGATGAGGATCAGAGACATAAAGAAGTGTGCCCCAGATCACAGCCATGAGAAGTAAAAGCTAAATCTGCCTTATTCTGAGGCCGCACGCTTCCTGCTGCTCCACACGGCTCTGGGGAAGCCCGCAGAGGCTCATGGGGCTCCTACCAAGGCAGCTTGTCCCTGTGGGAGACAGGGAAGCAGGGCACACGACGCCAGTTCCAGCCAGCTCTCCCCTCCCTTCACCCAAATGTCAGTGTCAGAACACTTGTCACTTCCCCTGGGGCCAGGACTAAAGCTTCAAAATAAGCTGAGCCCCACAGTGCCACTGGTTTATAAATTCCCACGAGGACTGCCCTTTCGTTCCCCATCCAAGCCAGGGTTAGTGAGTGCCTGACTTGGCTCTGGCGCTCACCTTCCTGTTGAGGCCGCTTTCCAGCCCCAGGCCTTGCCACTGGTCGGTGGAGCCAGGAGACCCAAGCACTCCCTTCCCTGCAAATGAGAAACCAGTCTTCCCAAATCAATGTATGGCTTCATTAATTCCATTCAAAACTCTGCAGGACTGTTTGGTGAAACTACCCAAACTGGAAAGAATAAGCAAGAAATTTAAGGGAGACAATAATAATTGTTAATGACCAGTATGTCTTCGTTTTAACATTTATTAAAGTAAAATTGCAAGTAGAAGCAAGTCATAGGCAGACACATTAATAAAGTGGAATGAAGAGCCCAGAAATGTATCTCATACAAAGTACTTGACATACAATAAAAGATGCACCTTGAATCAAAGATGAAGTGATGAATTATTTAACAAACGGCTATAAGGAAATGGGGACTTGGAAAAATATGAATTTAAAATACCGTGTCGTGGTTCCGCCACCTGCCTCGAAAGCTCAAGGTCCCAAGTTCGATTCCTGATACAAAAAAAAACACACCATGTCACCACACACTTAAAAATCCTTCCTGCTGGAGATGTAGCTTAGTAGTAGAGTGCTTGGTGAGCATACACAAGGTCCTGGGTTCAATCCCCAGTGCTGCAAAAACCCAGACAAACAGAAACCATTCCAGATAATTGTTAAAATGTTAAAAAAATAATAATAATAAGCCAAAAAATCAGTGAGTTTTATATTACTTCTGGATAGGGAAAGCATAAAAGCAACAGGAAAAAGTCACAAAGGAAATGATTGCTTAATCAGGAAAAACTTAAAATTCTTATACAGCATCAGTAAATACAAATTTGTACACTTGTGCAATTAGCTTCTGATGAAACAGACAGAAGACATGAGGGACACACTCAAACCACATCCAAACTATAGCAACGAAAAATATGCATAAGGACTCCTCCCCCACGGTCTCCCAACTCCATTTTGTTACAGTTTGACACAAGTGACTCCATTTTGATTCTGACAACTTTCCCAACTGCCTCTTTATATCTTTGGGGCACTTTTTAATTTAATTACTTACCTTTGTTAAATTCATTTGTGTATTTCCTTTTATATTAGAGATGTCATACCAGTGTCATATAGTTTCTCATTTCTGTTTCAACTTTATTACTCAATATGAAAAGGCATTTTATAAAATCTATGTTTTCAAATCTATAAAATATTCCTTTGTATTTTCTCTTTGGTATCATGTCTTCACTTCAAGGCTAAAAATATTCACTTGTATTTTAGTATTTTATGAGTTTTCATATTTGAATATTTTATTATCTCCTATTTATTTTCACATAAGGAATAAGGATCCAGCTTTATAGTTTGTGTATTAACAGTTGATTCAGAGACTTGAAAAATTCCCTTTATCATACATATGAGCTAACTTCTGATATTTATTTAAATTCACTCACATTCTCAGCTGCGTCTTTCTAAATCGTCTTGTTCCATTGACCTGTCTGTTTCTGTATTAGTTTCGGACACACTTGGTACCTATTACTTAATTTTATTTATTTATTTGAGGGGGGTACTAGGGATCGAACTCAGGACCTTGTGCTTGCAAGGCAGGCACCGGAACCACTGAGCTAAATCCCCAGGCCCCTATTACTTAATTTTAAAATGCAGGAGAGCGAGTACTTTCTTTTCACTTGTGTCTTCCAGAACAGTCTTGCCCCTTCTCACATGCAGTTTGAGAATTCATTTGGAATCCCACAGGATTTATAAGTCAGTTTGAGCCTGTAGCTCTTGTTAATACTGTATCCTCCCATCCAATGACATGGTTTGTTTCTCCATGAATTCAAGTCTTAGCTCTCTCAGGATGGTTTCATAAACATTTTATTTGGTTTTTGATTATATGTATGTCTAACTATTTTCTTTTGTTGATGCTATTGTGATAGAATATGCTTTCCTTTATATTTTCTAACTGGGTATTGATGTAAAAGAATTGAATGTTTATATGTTTTCATACCTGTATACTCTCCTGAACACCATTATTTCCAAAAGTTTTTTTTTTCTTTCTTTCTTTTTTTTTTTTTGATACCAGGGGTTGAACTCAGGACCTTGCACTTGCTGAAGCAGGTGGCAGAACCACCAAGCTAAATCCCTGGCCCTGTATTTTTCTTTTTTTATAATTCACTTTGTAGGAAAAGATAACATCATCAAATGAAGATAACCTTGTCTTCTCTCTAATATTTAGATACCTTGTTTAATAATCTTACTCCTTATATTAACTAGTGCCTTCAGATAATGATAATGGTGATGTTTGTCTTTCTCTGACTTTAATATGAGTCATGCTATAGGTTTTCATATGACTTTTCAGTATCAAAATGATCATGGGGTTTTCATATAAGGTTGATTATATGAATAGGCTTCCTAACGTTTTTTGTCTCTGCATTCTTAAAATTAATTTAACCTTGTTATAGTACATTCTTAAAGTACATTGAGGGCATTACTTACTTACACATTTTTAAAGTACGTTAATGGATTTTATTTTATTTTATTTTTCTTTCTGTTTTGTTGTTGTTCTTTTCTTTTCTTTTCTATTTTTTGTACTGGGGATTGAAACCAGGGCCTTAGCATTGAGCTGTATCCTTCACCCTTTTATAAATTTTTTAATTTCAGGGCTTCACTAAGTCACTAAGTTGTCCAAGCAGGGCTGAAGCTTGCAATCCTCCTGCCTCAGCTTCCCAGGGTGCTGGGATTACAGGTATGCACAAGAATATCCATCCAGCTTTCCTTTATTTTTTATAATAACTACATGTTATTTTTATGATAAATTATTTTAAATATATACCACCAAAGGAGACTGATAAAGACATATTTGCAGTTTTCACTGGAAAGGGAAATGAGACATGAGCTCTACATTCTCTATCCCCTGGTGAATCTCTTCAGGCATCAGCACTTTCCCCTTGTGGTCTGTGCCCCAACCCTGATGATCTAAAACTGAAAAATCCATATTTACAGAAAATAGAATTACATTTGACTATGCTTCAAACTCAGGACTTCTCAGATCATAAAAAGCCAGAGCAAACTAATCTCAGGACACAACGAACAGGAAATCCTATGGCTACTAAGGGGCAAGATGGCGTTGACTATTTGCTCTGAACACTGTTTTGCAGTCAGGCATTGCTTCTCGGTCTTTTGGCTAAGATCAAGTGTAAACTACAGTCAGGTATAAACCATGTCTTTGCTATTACAAAAGCAAGCAATTTGTTTGAGGATCTCAGTAAAACTAGGAAGTGCCACTTCTATAGAAAATTCCCATCAGAGAGTGAGTGGGACAAGAGGGACTGTAAACAGTCGTAGCTACACACAGCAGACCTGGGCCCTCACACATGCACCCAGACGGAGGTATTGACATCTTTCTTCCAAAGTTTCTGAAGCATGCATACATTTCAACTTCCTTGAGATGTTTTTCTTTTTAAATGCTTGAGCTATGAGTCATTTAAAAAAAAACTTTTTGGATTTCTTTTATCCAGATGATCAAGTTAGCCTTCAACTGAAGGCAGAGGCAAGGGTTGGACTGGGAGGCACTCAGACTTCTGAAGATATTTTATTGGCCCACTATGTGACTGCACCAATAGTTAAAAAAGAAAAACTAACCACTCAGCAAAAGAATCCATTCTTCTTTCCATCCTTAAAGGACGTCAAAACTTGTCAGTCTTTTGCCATTGGTTTAGCTGCAAAGATACAACAGGTGCTGCGAGTGGTGGCGCACGCCTGAAAGCCCAGAGCTCAGGGGCTGAGGCAAGAGGATCGCCAAGAATTGAAGGCCAGCCTGGGCTATATAGTGAGACCCTGTCTCAAACAAGAAGAAGGAGAAGGAGAAGGAGAAGAGGAGGAAGAGGAAGAGGAAGAAAAGATACGACACAGTTTTTTCTTTCCAAGGAACTCACACTCTAAGAGAAAGAGACTTTAAAACACAATTACACTGATATAGGATCTATAGAAAGATTTGCAAAAGGTGGAAGGTTCCCTACCTGGCAGCTTCCCAGAGGAGCTGGTGCCCAGGCTGGAAGGACACACTGAGGCTGCCAGGCCAGGAAGACTGGTAAGAAGCCAGGACCCCACCCCCGGGGGAACGGCTGCCACTGTGCATCCTTGAATCTAAGACACCATGTGGCATAAGACTCGCCATGGGTTTCTCAGCAATTTAGCCCAACAGTGGCACAACCCTGAAAATGATCCTCCCTATGTTCGCATTCCAAGCACCTCAATCTTCTTACACTACTCCGGACCCTGTTAAAATTGCATGTTCTTTTTAAAAATGTCACATTTCTAAGATAGTTTTATGTTCACACCAAAAGTGAGAGGAAGGTATACAGACTTCCCTTATCTCTCCACACATGCATGGCTTCACTGGAGTCATATATTTGTCTCCACTGATGACCCTACACTGACAGCCTTATTACTCAAAGTGTTTAGTTTAGAATAGAGGTGTCCCCCCGACCCCGGTTTTATACATCCTGTGGGTCTGGACAAATGTACAGTGACATGTAGCCACCATGATAGTGTCACACGGAGTAGTTCACTGCCCTAAAAATCTTCTGGGCTCAACTGTCAACAGAATCCATTTATATACACATTAGTAGATCACTTTCTTCTTTAGAATCAAAACCAACCTTTAAGTCCAAGCCTGATTGATATTTAGCATCTGAAAATCCTTAGGAATAACATTTGGCCTTCTGCAGCTATTGAAAGCAACCACAGTGACATACTGTTCTCATAGCCAGGACTTATGCACCCGACCTCAGCAACACTTTCAAAATTGACCAAAGAGTTCAAGGCCTGGGGAGGAAACCTAGGTTTGTCTGTGTTTTGCATTTCCTCTGGAAAGTCTCTTCTTTCGTTTGAACTCAAAGAAGTTCCTTTTTTTCTTCAGTGCCACATTATGGCAATAAAATGACTTCTTAAAGTCAACCAGAAGCTTTTGGCAAACTCTCCAAACTTTACAAATTCTGAAAATTCTAGGATCTAGATCTATCCTAAGATTTGGCCATTTCTACTGCAGTCAATTCCATTGTGTGACACACGCAAGCCCATTTCTGAAATTTCATTTTATGCCACACCATTGCGTGACCTTTCTGAAGACATTAAGTAGTAATTAAGATTCAAAATTTAAGTTACAGTTACTAATTCAAGGTGTCATCTAAGCAAAGGACTCAGAGAGGTGAGATGGACTAAGCAGACAATGCCAAGTCAAGTCCTCCTGCAGACAGAGCTGTTGGCAAGTTCCTGTCATTAGGAGTGAAAGACCCAGCCAGGAACTGACAACTAACTGCGCTAAGTGCACTTCTGTGTGGCCCACAAGCCAAGGGTGAGTTTTCCTTTTTCAGATGGTTGAATAAAATTTGAAAGAGAAATTTCATGAAACTCTAATTTCAGGGTCTATAGATAAAGTTGTATCAAGACACATGATGTAGTCCAATTTTAGAAATAATAAAAGTATGAAAAACTACAATGTCTTTGATGGAACTCAGGAAATC